CTGGAAAGTGTAGCCTGGTGGGGTAAACTATAGTTCCTGCCGTTGTTTGGGGGACGTCATGTGTTTTAAATGGTGTATATGCAGGGTCAATGGCCAGCTTTCCTGATACAGTTTTTCCACCACTCTGTTTCTTTGTGTGTGTGTCTATCTGTCTGTTCACCACAGAAGAAACACAGTTTTCTCCTAAGCACCATCTTGGACAGGGAGAAGGAACAGAAGGGGAGAAGTTTCCCTTCCCTGTCCACCCAGCTTTCCCCTGCCTACTTGTGTAGATGAACCAAGCAGGATGTTCACTACTTATTCTTTAAAAAGCGCTACATCTCCGGGAATATGGAAAGTCAATTATAATTCTACTTTCAGCAGAAGAGCAATGAGAGGTGACACCATCCACAATTTGTAGAGGACAACTGAAGTGTAGGTGAGTTCCCACAAGGCAAGACACAGTGATAACAGCAGACATCCTACTGGTTTATTCTAGAAGTGGAATGTTCTGTGCTGCTTTCTTCTTTCTCATTCTTTCCTGCTGTTCTGAGAACATTAGCGTTCATGGTTAAAGATGGGGGATTTCACCTACCTGAATGTTGCATAAGAGCACATGAAAGTCAGAGCTCTTGACTCTGCCCTGGAAAAAGTTCATTTTGCTGCTTCGACAAATGCCTTCCCTTTTTTCATGTGGTTAAGAAGCCGTCAAATAAAGTATGATGAGGTTTTGGCTTGTAACAATGACTTTGACCTATGTGTAATAAATCTCAGAGAGCAAGCCTGTTTCGGAAAGGCTGCTGCCACAGCTAAAATGATGCTGAAACACAGTCAGTGATAATGTAATCAGTAGCAGGGTGTGAAAAGAAGAAGAAAAAGATTTGCTTCATTTAAACAAATAGCAGTTACGAACACAGAGGAAATGGTATATTAAGATATCTAAGCACAAATGATAAGGAACGCAGAGGAAAATATAAGAAATGGAAACGAGAAGGCAGTTGAAGCTCATGAGATACAAAGCAGAATTGATTGTATATTGTGACTTAGCCGCAAGCTCAGCAAAGCTAAGTTTCGGTGCTTGCAAATCCCTGATTCAGCTATTGCTATTGCAAATGCAACCATGGAGAGGGAAGAGGTTGGCTCCAGTTCTGCCAACATAAGTCTGCACTGCTAAGTCGGTAGAAGCAAGGAGAGGCTGGATTGATCAGTACAGAAACTCACATCAGCAGAAATCTGCAGTTACACAAATAGTGGCAGCCCTACCCTATGAAAGTTAACTCACAAGTAAATGTTTACTTGCTAAGTTTGATAAGATGTGTGCTTACTTGAAAGAGAATCCTGCTGTGATCAATAGGGTTTCCTTCTGAGGAAGTGTGTTTAGGATTGCAATCCTACCTTCCAAGTTAATATGCATGTCCACAGTAGTGATGTATGGAAGTGAGAGCTGGACCATAAAGAAGGCTGATCGCCGAAGAATGGATGCTTTTGAATTATGGTCTGGAGGAGACTCTTGAGAGTCCCATGGACTGCAAGAAGATCAAACCTATCCATTCTGAAGGAAATCAGCCCTGAGTGCTCACCGGAAGGATAGATCCTGAAGCTGAGGCTCCAATACTTTGGCCACCTCATGAGAAGAGAAGACTCCCTGGAAAAGACCCTCATGTTGGGAAAGATGGAGGGCACAAGGAGAAGGGGACGACAGAGGACGAGATGGTTGGATAGTGTTCTCGAAGCTACCAGCATGACTTTGACCAAACTGTGGGAGGCAGTGGAAGACAGGAGTGCCTGGTGTGCTCTGGTCCATGGGGTCACGAAGAGTCGGACATGACTAAATGACTAAACAACAACAACAAGATGCATGTCCACTGCCATACTGAATTCATAATAATAAGGTGGACACTGTTTGGATAATTAAGGTGCTTATAGGAACAGTGCCATGATCAGAAAAGATCTCATGTGCAATAACTTCCCAAGTAACAAAACCAATATGGTTCAGTGCACCGTTTCCAGAAGGCATAAGATCCAGCTTAATTTAAGGATGATAACAATGAGGCTACACAAGAGAAGGTGGCATGGTATGGCTGGCTGGACTAGTCTCTCTCTCTTTAATAGGATTGATATTTGCATGCAGTGGTGCAAGGCACCACTTGCGTTGCTGCAGTTTCCGAGATCTGTAAGATCTGATTTTAAACTGGAATGGAAGCAAAAACCGATAACAGAGTTCCTAGGCATTAAGAAAAAAGACAGCTGAAAAGTTTTAAGTCAAAAAGATCCTCCTAATGTTGCATACTGTTAAATTATAAAACAACCTCTAATCCATATATGCTGTGCCAGAAGTATTACTAATCAGATTAAGCTTGGTTTCTAATACATGATAGTTTAAGCAAGTAAACAACATGAAAGAAATAGGATTTTGATTTCCAGGCTCTGTGGCATGAAAGATTGTGGTATGTGCTCACTTTTTCAAGTTTTCCTTTTGCTGTTCAAGGGAAGGGAGCTCAACACAGAAGGAATTGTTCCTGCCTCCTGCATATAAAGTTGCATTTGAGACCGCTTCAGTCATTGCTCATATGAAGAGGGCAAGTGAGTACAGATGGAGCTATGAGTCTGTATTCAGCTGTAACTTCTGTAGTAGCGGTTTTCTGCTCATTGAGGAGCCTTATGCAATACTGAATCCTCCAATCAGGGACCTCAATAGGGTGGGAAGTCTACAGCAGGGTCCCTGGCTGCAGAAGTTCAACCTCAACATGAGGAGGGTTTCAAGAACAGGCTGTTGGGAGCACGACAGAGTGTTAGGGTCCATGAGCACACCCCAATTTGCGACCGGAATTGTGTGAAGGGCTAAGTCAGTGGTGGCCAAACTTGGCCTTCCAGCTGTTTTTTGACTACAATTCCCATCATCCCTAGCCACTGGTCCTGATAGCTAGGAATGATGGGAGTTGTAGTCCAAAAACAGCTGGAGGGCCAAGTTTGCCCACCACTGGGCTGAGTGTATCCTCCAGGTCCTAGTGCATCTTCAAGATCCACCAGTGCCAAGCTTAGTTTGGACCCTAAGTCAGCTCAGCCAGGGATGTTGAGTATGAATTCTCTTGGGACTATAGATTCCTTCAAGATAAAGTGCAGATCATAGAATCATAGAGTTGGAATAGACCACAAGGGCCATCGAGTCCAACCCCCTGCCAAGCAGGAAACACCATCAGAGCGCTCCCGACATATGGTTGTCAAGCCTCTGCTTAAAGACCTCCCAAGAAGGAGACTCCACCACACTCCTTGGCAGCAAATTCCACTGTCGAACAGCTCTTACTGTCAGGAAGTTCTTCCTAATGTTTAGGTGGAATCTTCTTTCTTGTAGTTTGGATCCATTGCTCCGTGTCCGCTTCTCTGGAGCAGCAGAAAACAACCTTTCTCCCTCCTCTATATGACATCCTTGTATCCATTCTTAAGGAAATCAGCCCTGAGTGCTCACTGGAAGGACAGATCGTGAAGCTGAGGCTCCAGTACTTTGGCCACCTCATGAGAAGAGAAGACTCCCTGGAGAAGACACTGATGCTGGGAAAGATGGAGGGCACAAGGAGAAGGGGACGACATAGGATGAGATGGTTGGATAGTGTTTTCGAGGTTACCAGCATGAGTTTGACCAAACTGCGGGAAGTAGTGGAGGACAGAGGCAGGGACGCGGACTTATAAAAAATATTGGGGGGGCCCGGGAAAGCTCATGAATAATAAATAAGCTCATGAATATGCAAATAAAGTGGCTCCGGCCCTAAATAGGGCAAGCCACGCCCCCCCAGCCAGCCGATTGGCTGGCTGGGAGGTGTGGCCAGTCGGGATTCCCCTGTTCTCGCGGGGGCTGAAACCGCCAGGAGGAAGGAAATTCCCCCCGGCAGTGCCTTGGCAGTGGCGGTGGTGCTGCGAAGGACAGAGGTGCCTGGCGTGCTCTGGTCCATGGGGTCACGAAGAGTCGGACACGACTAAACGACTAAACAACAACAACAACAAATCATATCACCCCTTAACCTCCTCTTCTCCAGGCTAAACATGCCCAGCTCCCTTAGCCGTTCCTCATAAGGCATCGTTTCCAGGCCTTTGACCATTTTGGTTGCCCTCCAAATGATTGTCTACTGAGAAAAAGTAGTGGAGGAAAATGAATCACACTTTCCCATCTGATCAGAAATCCAGGGAAGCAGGAGAGCCACATGATTCTCCTCTCAGCCTGAAGGCAAGGCAAGAGAGCCTATAGCAGCCAACCAAGCAATTCAATGAACACTGCAATAAGTTAGCGATTAGCAAACCATCATCATCTCTATCGACTCATTCTGATAAATGAGGGAGAGAAATCAATACCCTCCAACTGACAAAAATGGCACAGGAATGCGAAAACGGCACCTCTTGCTCGTTACAGCCTACTCCTAACATACAAAAGCACACAAGCACAGAGAGTATTTTTTTAAAAAAGGAGCAAGCAGATCCAACCAAAGATTCCAGTCTCCAGATTAAGCGTTCACATTTTGGAGTCACACTATGTGTATGTAACTTGCACTTTCTAGTGCATTTTTAGTTATGGGTATGCATCAACACTTGGGCACCACAATAGAAATTTTGGATAAATTCCCCACCCTCACCCCTGGTCATGGTATTGGTTTAGGTCCCCATCCACTACTCCACCCCAGCCAGGTTCAAAGGATTGCTTAACCTCTTATTTTGCTAGTGCCTTCCTTTTAAAACTCGCAGTTGTCATTGCACATACAGCTACACAGATCTAAAGTGATAATTTGCTTTTGTCTATAGGCAACCCCAGTCCCTTTGATAACAGCTGCTGGTGTGGCTCCATCTCCCTGGATGCACTTTCTTCCCTTATCAACCACTACATGAGTCTGCACTTGAGGAGTTAATCAATAACCAAGGGCTCACTAAACAAATATCCCCTTGTCTTGAGCTATGACTGGCCAAGAATGATTACTCATTTACGAGTATCATAACTTGGTTGCTAAGCAGAATGAACAATGGGAATTCCGGTACAGGGTTTCAAATCAGCATGCCTTGCTGCAAGCTCAGGTTGTGGCCGTTACTATTTATGTTTTCTGAACGTTTTATATTTTTCACATTTCAGACCCTCTACATTTCCATGAGCAGTGCACAAGGAAGGTAGAAGACTTTGACAAATAGAATGCTGTCCCCAGCGAGGTCTGCCTGGCGAAACGTTAATTTCAGAGCCAGGTAAATATGTATCTCTTCTCCCAGGCATTTGACAGATTGTCATGATTTTGCTGCTTACTGATTATATGTTTGTGCGGCTGTTTTGTTGGGTCTGTTTTTATTGCGGCTGGCGGAGCAGGACGGGGGAGCATTGCTCATCTGGCTTCCCAACAGGGAGGTCATTGCCAGCAACTGAGAGGGAGAAGGGAGAAGGGAGAAGGGAGAGGCAGGGGGCAGGGGGAGGTCAGTGCAATGTGGGCACAGCAGCATGAGAGTTGGCTTGGCTCTACTGTTGCACCTGCAGCAACCTCCATGTTGGGAACCCAAGTAAGCAGTGCTTCTCCACCCTGCTGCTGATCAGTTTGATGGGATATTCTAGGTTTTTTTTTTATAGAATTGTTGAGTTGGAAGGGACCCTGAGGATCATCTAGTCCAACCCCCTGCAAAGCAGCAATACGCAGTTGTCCCAAACGAGGATCGAACCTGCAACCTTGGCATTATCAGCACCACACTAACCAACAGAGCTTTCCAGGCTGAAGGTTAAAAAATTAAAATAACTTAGCAGAGGATGGTTAATGCTTTTAAATTTGTGTAGGTCGCTGGGAGATTCCTTACATGCCAAGCGATTAGCAATTATAATGATCATCAAAAAGGGAGTAGTGGTGAGACTTAACACATTTGTACATTTTAGAAACTGCGGCACGGCATTCCTACAGGTGTTTAATGCTTTCCCACAACAGAGCTGATGAACTGCACAGATACAGGGAACAAGTATGTTGGACTGGATTTCAGTAGATGGGGTGGGATTCAGCTTCACCCTCTTCCAGTTGTTCCATCTGTGCAAGCACCCCAGCTCGCCAGAAATAACAATACACCATGTCCTCCATCATGTGCTGTTCTGGGAGGAATTATCCCAACCCCCTGACTCAATTGCAGGGGGAGGAGCAGAAAAGCCCTGGCGTGGAAGTGGAAGTCCTTCCACAGAGCTTTCACTGATGGGGTTTGTTGGGTGAGACCCACACATGGGATGGTATTCAACTAAGTTTGACTTAGAGTAGACCCATGGAAATTACTGGGCCTTAGTTATTTCATTACAATGTGTCTATTCTGCGGGTGGCGCTGTGGTGTAAACCACAGAGCCTAGGGCTTGCCAATCGGAAGGTCGGCGGTTCAAATCCGCACGATAGGGTGAACGCCCATTGCTCAGTCCCAGCTCCTGCCAACCTAGCAGTTCGAAAGCACATCAAACAGCAAGTAGATAAATAGGTACCACTCCAGCAGGAAGGTAAACAGCATTTCCATGCGCTTCTCTGGTTCACCAGAAGCGGCTTAGTCACGCTGGCCACATGACCCAGAATAACTGTCTGCGGACAAATGTTGGCTGCCTCGGCCAGTAAAGCGAGATGAGTGCTGCAACCCCAGAGTCGTCCGCGACTGAACTTACGGTAACTGTCAGGCGTCCTTTACCTTTACTCTGCGTAAAATTTAAATATCACCTATGGGTTCTAAATTGGATAGCCAAGTACACTTTTTTCAAACATCACAGATTCATGTCCCATAGAACAGCCCATCACAGCTGAGGGCAATGACTTTCAAACTTGCACCAAGTCACTTGGCAACCAGGACTTGACAGATGATTGGCCCAACCTTCCAATGGGTGCCAACTAGTTGAGATAAGGCCAAACAGCAATGTATGGGCAAACAATGGAAAAGGGTGGCTACAAGACTAAATTAATGTTTGCATTTTGACCCGTAGCTGGTCACAGCTGGGCAAGTCTACAATATTTTTCTCCCAGGTACAGCCCAATCTATTTATGTTTATACAATGCCTTCTCTGTTCCATCTTAAAAGTTACAAAATGCACATTTGAGTTTTTCCATCAGGCCCAGTGCAACACCTTTTCCTTCTCTTCCCCTCCTCACCTTCCAGCTTTCAGGTTTCTGAATCTAGTGGACTCAGAAACTGGCACATCTTTTAACTGATGCCAATAAAATAAAGTACGTTCATCAGGCAATGGCTTTTCTATCCTGCTTTGCCCCACCCTCCAGCCCTGAAACCCTTTCCCAAACTACAACTTCAAGAACAGCAGAAGCAGCTAGGAAGAGAGAAGTTCAGGGATTATTTTTTTAAAAATTAATTTAATAAGTTGTGTGCTCTTGTTTCTCAATTTGATCATTTGACATGGTTTCGTAAGTTTTGTGGTATTTTATGCATTGTGATTTGCTGTTATTTTTATTGATTATAGATTAGTAATTCTTTATTGTAACTGATAAGTGTAAACTGTTTACTTATTATTTGCTGATGTTTATTTTTACTGTTTACCGTTACGTAGATTCTAATGGATTATTGAATATTGCTTTATTTGATCTAAGTTGTTTATTTTAAAGTTATTGTGGCTTTTTCTATTGGATCAGATTGTTACTATTCATGTTTGATGCTTTTATGTGTGTTGGAGGCCACCCAGAGCAGCTGGGGCAACCCAGCCAGATGGGCAAAGTATAAATAAATTGTTGTCATTGTTTAGATCATTCACTTTGTAATCACAGCAAGGTCCCTACCAGTGAAGAAGTGAGCAGTCTGCAATTTTATCCCTGGGTGGAGCTATCGAATGACGCTGTTTCATTACAAGATGCCTCATTCCAAGGAGTTTGTGGGTTTATATACCTTATTAATTTTTAAAACTGTATCCAAGGTGGGAAGATTCTCATCATCCATATAAATATTTCAGTTCTTTCTTATTTGCATGTCACAGAGCTTATGGTTTCACAGATATCTGAGGGAGGGGTGACTGGAGAAGCGGAGGAAAGGCTGAGAAATGGGCTGGACCAATCGGTTGCTGCAAAGGGAAAGTAATGACAACTTGGCTCTGCTGTTGCACCTGCACCACACCTGCACCTGTACTTACAAATTTCCTACTCTGCCACCCACTGGAGACATACAACTGTAAATTGTCAAACAATCTGAGGTAATAATAACCTAAACTTTTTTTTTTGCCAGTGTTGATTTAATACTGAAACATAAGTCCAATTCTGGTATTCAAACAACATGTGAGAAGAAGCAGAAGAGTTTGGATTTTATATCCTGCTTTATCACTCCCCTAAGGAGTCTCAAAGCGGCTAACAATCTCCTTTCCCTTCCTCCCCCACAACAAACACTCTGTGAGGTGAGTGGGGCTGAGAGACTTCAGAGAAGTGTGACTGGCCCAAGCAGCTGCATGTGGAGGAGCGGAGACGTGAACCCGGTTCACCAGGTCTACTGCTCTTAACCAGTACACCACACCGGTGAGGAGAGTGTGAGGTGGCAGAGATGGGGCACATCAACCCTGTCCCCAGTGTTTCCATCCATTGTGCACCACCCTGACCTTCCAGTATTAAGTGGGAAGTTCTGAGGGGGGCATCTATTGAACATTCAGGTGACCATATTTTAAAGCCCCCAGACAATCTGGAGCCCAGGTAACTCAAGGTTCCTGATCATGTGGAGCATCCAGCTGGACATGGTTCAAAGGCCCCCTCAGATGTTCCCACTTGACATGAAAAGGTATTGATGAGGTTGGGGTTGTATGTGCCTGCAGGTGCCAGTGTGCCTCCAGAGGCATGCCATGGTACCAGACAGCTAATTTGCTCCGTTCCACATCGGATTACCCCCTTGCCCTAAATCAGATCAAAATGGCTTCCTAGCTGCTCCTTGGGCTGCCTGGAGTTCCTTGCAAGGCCTTTGCTGTGCTCACCCCCTTCCATTCTTTCTGGACAGCAGCAGGCCTTTGGATTACATGGAGGGAAGAGAGAAGACCACTGGTGCATAAGCTGTGCCCAATGCCACCTCCTCTCCCTCCTTCCATGTGTGTCCACCCCACCCAACAGCTGACTGATGCAGCTGAATGACAAAGCTACACCCAGCAGCTACACCCATGCATTGCTGGATAAAGGTCTATGCATTTAACATCTGCTGCAAATAATGATCTTATTAAAATTGTCAGAAAAGTAATCATAAAAACACAGTGGTAAGAATGATACCTCGCGATACGTACGCTTCAGGTTACATACGCTTCAGGTTACAGACTCCGCTAACCCAGAAATATTACCTCAGGTTAAGAACTTTGCTTCAGGATGAGAACAGAAACTGTGTGGCGGCAGCGGGAGGTCCCATTAGCTAAAGTGGTGCTTCAGATTAAGAACAGTTTCAAGTTAAGAACGGACCTCCGGAACGAATGAAGTACTTAACCCGAGGTACCACTGTACTTGCTTCTGCCCTAAGGACTTGGTAGAATAAAAACCCTTTAACCATAACAGTCACTCTGAACCTGGTGGGCCTATCTTAGGACACAATTACACACTCGTGAAAAAGCCCTGCTCCACTGTGGCTATCAATCTAACATCTTCCAAAGGAGCACCAGGAAGTGAAGAACCTATGGCTCCAGTGTAGTAGTGCCACATGAGGGCGAGTGTTCGATTCAGTTGCTTGGTCAGATCTCCTGACAGGCATTTTGAGGGATCTGCCTTCTTACAGCAGCCAACCAAGCTAAACGCCAGAAGTGGATCAGTCCTTGCACTTACCTGAAAGGTAAGAACAAGGACCAACTGTTCTGCATAAGGCCATAAACACTTCTCATTTGATGAAGATACTAAGTCAAGAAGCTTATGCCAAGAAAGGCATGCTGTAAGATTATCATCAAGGGATGCGGGTGGCACTGTGGGTAAAACCTCAGTGCCTAGGGCTTGCCGATCGTATGGTCGGCGGTTCGAATCCCCGCGGCGGGGTGAGCTCCCGTCTTTCGGTCCCAGCTCCTGCCCACCTAGCAGTTCGAAAGCACTCTTAAGTGCAAGTAGATAAATAGGGACCGCTTTCTAGCGGGAAGGTAAACGGCGTTTCCGTGTGCAGCTCTGGCTCGCCAGAGCAGCTTCGTCACGCTGGCCACGTGACCCGGAAGTGTCTCCGGACAGCGCTGGCCCCGGCCTCTTAAGTGAGATGGGCGCACAACCCTAGAGTCGGACACGACTGGCCCGTACGGGCAGGGGTACCTTTACCTTGAGATTATCATAAAACCCAGGCAATTAAATCTGTAAGAGAGCTATCCTACATACACAGACCGGGGAGTATGTGTCCTTGAAGTAAGAGAGCCTTAGTTCAAAGTAAATATATCCATGTTTGAGCTGCACAGCTGTGATCCAACACACACTTACTTGAGGGTTGGCTCATTTGATTTATGGGACTTGCAGCTGAGTAACCAAGTTTAGGAATTGTCAGCACAAGCCACCACTGTCTAAAATCTAAGTGGTAAGTTTAAGCAGCATGATTGTAATATTTTTCCCTGTGGCTACCCAGCCACTTATAACTACATATCAGTGTTGGAAATAATACAAAATATTTGTACTAGAAATTTTCTCAAAACTATCAACAGTCTGATCCAGGATCATAACTTTTTCAATATTTTAAAAGCAATTGCATTTATATGCATTTAAAATGTTTGTTTTATTTTTGCAGAATGCAATAGTATTCTTTGATTGGGTAGTGAAAATGTAACTTTATCAGTCAATGCTGAAACTTTTGGCTTTAGTAGAAAGAGATTATATGTCTGTTCAAAGCTCGGTTTATAGGTATCTACCTAGTACTAGATTCTGATGGTTTGGGGGCAGAAAATAAGTTGTAATTACTTTCCCTTTGCAGAATATGCCAACCCAAAATATCTATCCTTTGTAGAAATGAGGTTTTCATTATTCATGTCTCTTTCTGTATATAATGCATATCCTAGATTGCATACATGCATAATTCATTTTCCAATCCAGATAGTAATTGCTCTAAATTTTGTTTTATTTCAGTTTTGAAAATGAAGTAGTCAAATTTCCAACTTGGAAAGAGAAAAATCAAGAGTAATTGAAAAAGCTGTTCAAATAAACAGGAAATTCTAGGTATGATCCAGCCAAATCCCACTGATTTCAATGGGAGTAAAAAAACAGACTTAAAGTTATCCCATGGAAATCACCAAGATTTAAAAATTGTTCACTTTGGCTAAATTAGGTTCTTTGACTGATAAAAACAACTTTTTCAAAATCAACTTATTTTACTTCTCTCATGCTTTAGAAAAATCTTGTCACAAACGTAGTATTTGCTAATGGAGAGCCAGTGTGGTGTAGTGGTTAAGAGCGGTAGTCTCGTAATCTGGGGAACCGGGTTCGCGTCTCCGCTCCTCCACATGCAGCTGCTGGGTGACCTTGGGCTAGTCACACTTCTTTGAAGTCTCTCAGCCCCACTCACCTCACAGAGTGTTTGTTGTGGGGGAGGAAGGGAAAGGAGAATGTTAACCGCTTTGAGACTCCTGAAGGGGAGTGAAAGGCGGGATATCAAATCCAAACTCTTCTTCTTCTTCTTCTAACAATACAAAATACAGTTTTCAAGTTTTAAAACACCCCAAAATCTTAAAATCCATAAGCCCAGAAGAACCACTATCTGCCCAGCATGGTCATAAAAACACAGTATAAAGAGTATAAATGGCACCATCATGTCAGCATCCTACTTAAAATTGCTCCTTAAAAGTGACAGAGCACAGATGGAGAAAAGATGATTTGTTGACCAATATTACCAACCAGGTTTCCCTCACGCCACATTTTCTTGGTATACACAGGGATAAGCGCTCAGTGTTTCCAGCACGGCAACAGTCACAGGGCATTTCCCCCCCCCCTTCCCAAAGTTAGTGGACATAACTTAGAGAAACTGTCCCACTAAGGTCAGTGCTGGTAGTGGCTTTCACAAGCAGCACATAATCCAGTCAGATCTCTTTGAAATAGTTCTCTTCAGAGGAATAGGCTGGAAAGTCATTTTTAAAATATAGCATCATTGAGAATGCTTTATTATTCAAATACTTCTTGCCCAATGCTTTATTTTCTCTACCTTTGCCACATCATTTTTCAAAAAAAGACACCCAATCATTCACCTCTGTAGCACTTCTGTCAATTTCCACAGCTATTTTATGCAATGAGCTAACTTTTAATTGCATTAGATGCCTGCAATATCCAAAATATTTTAGAGTCCCATTTGATGGCAAAATAAAAGAGTAATGTCCTTCAGAGGAAATGTTTTCAATTTTAGTGACATGTTTAGTGTTATCCTCTTAGTATCATTTCATACAATTAATTTTTAAAAATAAATCCCATTTTCAATACTTTCCCCCTCAGCAGAAAATAAATGTTTAATAAACCTGAATAAAGTTAAGTCTGACGAGGGCACCTGCAACCATAAATTCTCAGCAACCAGCCTATTGGAAAATGTAATGCTGCCGTGTCATTAAAGGGGAGAAAAACATTCAGAGTTCTCAATTTTTCATACTGTTTCACAATATTAGCGTGAACCGATAGCATCTAAAATATGTGTTTTGACAAAAGTAATTAAAGGGTGGACATTTTGAGTTATTCTCAGATTTGAAATGAAAGCTTGTCTCCGTTATTATATCTCATCCATCAATTGTTTCCCACTTGGCGTGACCTTAAAGCTACTCTAGCATAGCGTCGTCACCTTGAAGGCAAATTCTAAAACTCATTAGAAGTCACTTCTTTATTTCCCCAGCAACTCTGTTGGCTAGAACAGCAGCAGGTAAACGGACTCGATGGATTTTAAAGGGAAAGGGTGGAAGCTTCTGGAAGAGAGCAGGACCTCTAAACAAAGTCAGTGCCCCTCAGGCACATAATATAAGTAAACTAGGCAGCAGATTCATATCTATATCTATCTATCTATCTATCTATCTATCTATCTATCTATCATCTATCTATCATCTATCTATCTATCATCTATCTATCTCTATCCATCTATCCATCTATCCATCTATCCATCTATCCATCTATCCATCTATCCATCTATCTTTAACTACAAGGAATGTCTGGGGGGACTTAGAAGCAAAGCATTTGGGGACATAGCCACAATGGCTTTGCATACCCTCCAACATCTCTCATATGAAAATAGGGGCGTCCTAAATAAATAAATAATACCCTGCACATCTGACTGGGTGGCCCCAGCCACTCTGGGTTGCTTCCAACGTATATAAAAATATAAAAAAAAATTAAACATTAAAAAATCCCTTCCCTATCAGCCTTCAGGTGTCTTCTAAAGGTTGCATGGTCACTTATCTCCTTGGCTCAGGGGTCGCATAACTCCATACCCTCCAATGAAAATAGGGACATCCTACCATATCCTCCAACATTTCTCCAATGAAAATAGGGACATCCTAAGGAAAAGCGGGACATTCCAGGATCATATCAGAAACCAGGAGAGTTTCTGTAAATCCCAGGCTGTCCCTGGAAAATAGGTAAACTTGGAGGGTCTGGCTTTCTTCTACCACCGCTGTCAGTATACAGCTGAATACCAGTTGCTGGAAATTGTGGGGAGTGGGGCAGAGTGCTGTTGCTTTCAGGTTCTGCTTGTGGGGTTCCCACGGGTATCTAGGTGGCCACTGTGGGAACAAAATGCTGGGTTAGAGGGATCTAACAGAGCAGGGGCTCCTCTTAATGTTCATAGTTAGCTCGCCATCAAAATGGAAACAGATGGGGGAGGTGTTTGACAAACATGGGCTGGCAAAAAGACAGCTCCCATCAGGGACAGAGGGCCAAGCATGGGGCTAAAATAGAAATTAAGGAAATGATGGCCACGATGCAGGTTTATGCGATTGCATGGGGAAGGTTGAAGGGAAGGTCATAGGAAGTGAGGTGCACAACATGGTGGCTTAGACTGCCACAACCACTGAGAGGACACCACTGCCACAAACTGCCATTGCCCCTTTTCCAGATGGTTAGGAGGACTCAATTGGGCTTAGATGTCAAGGAGGACACCTCCAAGTTCCCCAAAGGAAGCCATGTGACTATATGAAGTTGCCTTATGGAGTCAAGAAACCAACCACAACATTGGCCTATCTAGTCTGGTCTTGCCCAGCTTTTTGGATCATGGTTTTACAAGGTCTCCTGCTCTTTCCTGGTCTACTACTGGGACATACCATATGAAGTCTACCATCAGGTTATTGTCTCTTCCATGAGTGTAGCCAAGAGGGGGGGCAGGGAGGGGCAGCTGCCCTCCCAATCAATAAAAAGCAATAAAAATACAGAGCAAACTGAGGTTCTGCCTGCCCCTAACAAAAGGCCTGACCCCCCCTCCCCAAATCATGGCTACACCCATGGTCTCTTCCCAAACTGGGTCCTTGCTCAACTCAGAGATACGGACAAGGATGAAGACAAGAAAAAGCTCAGCGCATGATAGTGATTTTTACCCAACTTTTTATATTTGGCTTATGAAACTATATACGTTCAAGCAATCTGGCAGTTTGAAGCAAAACTTTATTTAATAAATAGATCCTTGACTGCATGCTAAAAACATTAAATAAAATGAAAGGACAAGGTGAACACCCGCTTTGTAACCCCAACGTATTTAGAAGCTAATGAAATGAACCTTTGTGTAGGCATTGATGATGAAGAAAAGCTGTCTGCAGCCAAAATATTATTCGCCCACCCATATGGATTTCTGTAAATGCACATTATTCTGCAAGCTTTTGGGAAACCAAGATAAAAGCACATTTATGTTGTTGAAAAGGATTGCATACTGTGAACTAGTGTTCTCATGTTGGGGTGGGGGGAATTACGTCCCAATTGCTTGCAGAAATTCAGGTCGTATGGTCAGCACATGAATTAATTATCTCGTTGTGACTGATTGGGGTTAGAGCAAATAATGGCTTGTTAGCATTCAGCACCCTCAGCAAACTGTAGCTGGCATGCCAGGGCATGATCCTGCCCTTTCCCATTTAACTCTTTCTCCTTTTCTATTTTAGCCATGCTGCACCATTTGATATCACTAGGAAAGGAAACTACAAACAGAAAATGAAGGTTCAGAAAATAGTAGCTGCCATTACTCTGCGTAAAAAACACACATTCCTCTCATCTACTGGATTGCTCGGTTTCGGGGATAGCCTTCCTGGTTCATACTGTATCTAAAGTTTACTTACAGACATGAAAGGTCAAAGGCAAAACTACACATTACAGAGGGGGAAGTTACACATCACCCCCCCCCAAAGTGGAAGTGCATCACCCCATAAGAGGAGGAAGATCCAGATTTGCATAAGATTTATGTATGCTAATTAATATATATGGGTGCAAATCGAGAAAGAATTCAATTAAAACAATGCAAGTATTATAAGCACTATAATTTAAATAAAAACACATTACATCTCACCATAGTGGAGAGGACTGTGATTGGATAAGCTGTGTTCCTGCTCGGTTTGCTGTCCAGATGGTAACTTTAAGCCCTGCTCTCTCTTTTCATGGTTCTTCATCTTTCAACTCAACTTGGACCCTTCAGATAGAGGACTGTTCTTTGATAGCTCTTCAAACAGAGCATTGTCCTTTTGTAAAACAGAACAGGTTGTTATCCTGCTCACATCATCAGGCACAAAATCAGGAGCAATGTGCACACCTGGTGTTACCCACTGAGCTGAGCAATGCAGTATAGGCTAATGAGTGTTGGTGGAAACACCTGAGATTCTTGTCTGCTTTGTAAACCAAATGCTTTGCCCTGTGATTCTTCTGATTACATAGTTTGGTTCCTCTACATTCAAAGTACCACTGAGTTAAGTGTGATTTATGTCTAGGACTGTAGCCTTAGTGATGGCCCCTGGTCTCTAACTCTTTATACAATATTATTGTAAGATATAATAATTATAAATAAATACAAGCAGGGAGGAAATTTATTCCATAGCCTCTGGAAGTAGTAGAAGCCTAGCAGCTGCACAATGACAGTGGGTGGCCACATTGGAGAGAGGTCATCCTATAGCAGGGTTCCCCAAACTTGGGCCTCCAGCTGTTTTTGGACCACAATTCCCATCATCCCTGACCACTGATCCTACTAGCTAGGGATGATGGGATTTGTAGTCCAAAAACAGCTGGAGACCCAAGTTTGGGAAACCCTGTCCTATAGCTTCTTGTCTTGGGAAGATAATGAGTTGTGCAGGAATTGCCCTTCTCAATTCACATGCAGCAGCAGTTCAAGAAAAGAGGAGATGCAAGTGTGATGGGTTTAGAGTGAGTGAAAATAGAAAGATGTGTGGCCACAGGAAATTTGGAGGACAAGTATTAAGAGGATTACCCTTTTGCATAGAGCTTCATTTCAGCACCAATCTGGACCCCAAGATCTCCTGAACGGACTTGGACTCAGAGAAAGGGTGCTCCCAGGGCCTGCTGACAGAAGGGAAGAGGCAATTTTCAATAATTACCCCAGTAGCACCTGAACATCGCCCACCCCATCTCTTCCAGAAGGTTTGAAGGCCTTCTGGAAAGTGTGGAAGGAACTGCGAGGGACTACCAGTGGAGGATGAATCAGCAACCAACTCATTCCACTTCCTTCACAGCCCTCTCAGAGACAGAAGAATGTCTTCTGTTCACAAAAGGGCACCTTCATTGGCACTTATAGAGTGCTTTGGAGTTCTCAGGGAATTCCACATACGTTAGCTCAGTAACTTGTAAAGCAACAAATTACTCAATAATTTGTAAAGGCTAAAGCATGTGCTTAACTTTTGCTGAAATCAATGGGATTTAAGTACTTAATTTTGGCTGGCTTGTGTCCAGTATAATTAAATATATTGTAGTACTAGAAGATGCTTGATCTCTGCTGTAAGCTACATTTTTTCTCCAGGTCAGGTCTTTTGCATTATCTGATGTTTATCATTCCAGATTTTCTTAATAATTTCTGAAGGAAGTGGATGAGGTCAGCATTGTTAAGAGAAGTGTCACATATAACACACTTATGTCATATGCCATGTAAAGGAATTTGGGTCTTATTATCAACATCAAATGGACAAAAAAATTTTTTTGGGGGGGTGTTAAAAGATGCCAAGGAAATCCATTATTAAGCCTTGAGGCATCTTTGGAGAGAGACAGTAATAAATCAGATTGATAGACTAAACAGTCAATGATTCTCTGTATTAACCAAATAAGATCAGAACCAGGCCATTATTCCTAATGAAAAGCAAAATTTAATTAGCTAATCTACCGGTGTCATTTAGTGAATCAAAAGCTTTTGAGGGGTCAATGAATCTTGCCCTCATCAGCTCATTATCTTCCATCACTAACAAGATATCATTAAGCAACTTCACAGGAGCTGTTAATGTCTGAGAGTGCTGGCTGCTATGGCCATCATTAAAAAAGAAGCTAGTATTTATTTGCAATTAGAAGCTTTTAAAAGTATTACATTAAAAGGTACATAAATGTGTATAAAATTATCTCTGAAGTAACATTCTCTGCACTTTCACATGTGTTCATTTTTATGCTCACCTTTAGTCCTCTAAGAGTCAACAGGGTCTCATCATATAAACAGATGACAACAATGTTAAGTACTCCGTAGGCATTATATAGACCTCTGCACCTTATTTCCATCCTTTTTATCTTATTTTATCCTGCTTAACTTATGGAGGTCTATAACCCAATAATCCCTAAGAAGAATATCAGGAATATCAGGGGAATTGTCGTCTCAGCGTTCTGCTCTGCATTGCTTTCTGCATGATCCAGGTGGAAGGAGATAGCTAGGCCACTAGTCAAATGGTGATTGTCACATAAGAATGCCCTGCATGGTTCTTCTGCCGGCTAAATCCACATTAAGAAAAAGCACATGGAAAGGTCCTCCATGATATGTACTACTTCAGATTGCAGGTAGAGGATTGCATAGTTCTTACTCACTCCCCCAAATCAACAAATCCTACGGGAGGCAGTGATGGACACCAACTTTTGAATTCTGGCCACAGAAATTTGCATACCAAACAGAAGAATTATTTTGTCTATATATTTAATGATGACAAACCATGGACTGCATCCAGCCTTCTCCATTCATTAGCACAAGGGCTCTTGAGCTAGCAGGTGGGTGAGTTTTTAATGATGTGCAACAGCTGCACTAGCAGAAACGTGCTGCAACAGATTTCAGAATCTAGTGTGCAATAAAGTTACTAGCAACTAGATTGTGCATTCTCTTGCACACTTAGTGCTGACAATGTTGTTGTTTATTCTTAAAGTGAGGATAGCTCCCCAACTTCATTGCCCATCTCCATGAATGCACATAAGCTTCAGGGTGGAGGCAGATAGTTTCTCAGGACAGTGTTCTGTGTTCTTGGGTGCAATATGCACATTGGCCACACACACATCTCTGTAGCAAACGGTGGAAATCCTTCTGCATCGTCCAATACTTTGAGCTCCACCAAAGAGCTGTGAACCAATTTTTCCATTTAATCATGAACATAACAGGTGTGGTTCTTTTCCCGCCCATTACAATATGCCGCCTTACAAAAGGAGAATGTGTGTGCAGATGGTCCATTTTGCCCTTTTATTTGCACTGAGAGTGGCAGAATAAGAGGACGCGTCTCAAGCAATTCAGCAGAGATAACTTAAACATTAAGAAGTAAAATGATAATGAAGCATGGGATTACTGTGAAATTATGAGCAATAATGACATGTCTTTATATACATTCCCACCTATAAAAAAAGAGACTACCAATCATCTACAAGTTAATGATGGCTGAGCACATTCTGTTATGACAGCCAAGTGTATTCTAGTGTGACAGCCCAAAAGAGTCCCAGAGGAAGTTTAATGATCAATTGTGGCAACAATCCACAAATTAAAGATCCTCCGTAGCACGCAGTGCCAGTATGAGCTGTTAGGGCTCTGGAAAAACCTTTTTATTCTCTCATGCCAAGTGATCCATGGCTTAGGGGCTCACATTTGTGTAACACATTGTAATGGGTCTGAGGGAGCCATCCCCATTCTTCACGTCAATGATCCATGAATAATAGGAGTTGTCTGACGAGTGTCTGAGTCCATGCCAGACTGCTTTGGGGAGAGACTGGAGTGTGCTAAGGCTGAGCAAGCATTAATGTTCCTCAGTGAATACCTTAAACCTTCCTATTTACACTTTTAATTTTTTTTAAGAAAAGACACTAGTACATGTATATGACAGCAACTAAACAGGTGAAAAATCATTGTTTAAAGGCATGGGTATTTCCCCCTTTCAATCTGAGACATACAGATTGGGTCCATATATGCCAGTGCTTGGCAAATGCTAGAAGTCCATTGGAAGGCACTGGAGATGACCAACTTAATTTCAGGATGGGAAATGGGTTGGGTAGTTCCAAGCTAGGACTGCTCTGCCCATAAGACACAGAATATGGGATCCATAATTTCGCCCTATCTCAGAGTCTCCAAAACATGTAGAGATGGCCAAAAAGCCTCATAAGCCTTAAGTCAGGGCTTCCCACTCCCCCCAGCCAGAACTCACTGGAACTCAATTCCGGCACCTCATTATAAGAGAACAAGGGAGGTGTTCATGTTCTGCCACCTCTTTTTGTAGAAAAATAGCACTGCCTCTAGTGGTGTCATCAAAAGCCTGCGTTGGGCCTAGAGACTTCTCTGCAGCCTGAACCACTGCTCACCTGGCATCTCAATATGGAGCATGTGGTTATTGAGAGGGAGGGGGCAAGGCAGAGGAAGCTCAGTGTGGTGCGGCTACAGCGGTGGAGCCAATTGGCTGTTCCCATTGCTGTGCCCAGCACATTGCCCCTCTTCCTCTCTGTAACCATCAGTGATTTTCAGTGTTGGGAAGAGGGTGAGCAATGCTGCCCTCCCGATCACTACTGGCTACTGATTAGCCACTGTTACTGTAGAGGTAAACCTGAGAACATTCAGTGGCCGCTTGGGGTGGGGAAGGAGTGTTATTGGCAAACTGGCACATCCAAGAGATTCATATGTGGCTTCTGGTTTTTGAAAGCACAGCTTAAGCACAGCTCCCCCCCGACTCTCCACCTATTCGAAGCCCCTTGCATCACCCGTTCCTTGGTGTTGCTTCAACAGTACCTCATGAACCTTCCGTTTCCAACATCAAGCTTTGTAAAACTTTCCAAAGGTTCTCGACTTTGAAATTTGAATGAACTGTGAAATGAACTGTTGCCAGAAACTTTCTTTTTGTCACAGTTCATTCCAGCTAGAGAAATGTAATGTTCTTGGATGCAGAATGGAGAGTTTTTAACTGAAACAGTTGGCTTTCCCTTGAGATAAATATACTTGCAGTTTATATCCAGGGAGCACACCCCACAATTCCATAACAAGGTCATTAAAATAACTCTTTTCAGTTATCCAATAAATTGTCAGAATACACACACACACACACACACACACACACACACACACACACAGTATATATACTCATTTATGTACCACTGAATGCCAAAATAGACTTCTAAGCAATCTACAAAGCATATAAACCGATTAAAAAGGCATTAAAATGTAAAAACCCATGATTAAAACACACAAGAAACAATCCTTTTGAAGCAACACATCAGTTAAAACTGGAGAGACAGAGATAGATTCAGATAGGAACTGGAATGCCTTTGAAGAATTTGCTGTACTGTGTACTGTGCATTAGTGGCCAAACCTTAACTTAAGTAAGGTTACCATAATCTCCATCCTAGAGCTTCAGTATGCTGATGACAACATAGTGTGTGCACACTCAGAGGATGACCTCCAAACCATCCTAAATATCTTCATAGGAGCTTACGGAAAGCTTGGTCTATCACTCAGTATCCAAGAAAACCAAAGTGCTGCACCAACAAGCCATCAAATCTCAGAAATACGTATTTTCCAAAAGCTTTTACAAAATTTTGACCACTAGCATATGTAGATACTGTGTGAGCTTCAAACAGAATTCAGTTCCAT